TATAATATTGTAAACCTTTATTAGTGGTCAGGCTTCTGTAAATGAAAGTTTGAATATAATATTGTAAAACCTTTATTAGTGGTCAGGCTTCTATAAATGAAAGTTTGAATATTATTTTTCCAAAGTGGGTCAATGATCCTGTAACTGCTGGAAACACAAGTGTTTATGGTATTGTACACGTGTTTAAAGCAGCTGCAGTACATGTGTTTCCAGCAGTTACCAGGATCACTGACCCAAGTGTTTAGAGCAGCTGCAGTACATGGGTCAATGATCCTGTAACTTCTGGAAACACAAGTCTTTATGGTATTGTACACGTGTTAAAAGCAGCTGCAGTACATGTGTTTCCAGCAGTTATAGGATCACTGACCCAAGTGTTTGGAGCAGCTGCAGTACATGGGTCGATGATCCTGTAACTGCTGGAAACACAAGTGGTTTATTATACTGATGAAGTTGAAGAAGCTTAGGTATGTTTGTTCACTGTTTTAACAGCTGATTGATGCACTGACTACAGTAAAGTCTATCAACAGAACCGATGCCATGACTCTGCTGAGTATATTTGGGGTGAGTAAATTAGAAATATATAGTTATCACGATAGTGTGGCTGACAGGACTTAAAATAGTATCATTCTTTGAACGAAACATATAACGAGGTGTGACATTTCAACTTCAGGATTAAATGACAAACTTTTCCAATGAAGAGAGGAATTTTATTAACAGTAATACAAAAATAATCTGACTTCTGATGAATTGTTTTATACTTGAACAGTTGTTTTTGTAAAATAGTCCAGATTTATGGGGACTGGTGTGTATTGAATTAAAGATCAGACTTAGTGTTTTTCAGAAGAATTATTATCTATATTTGTAGACTGCTAATACCAAGTTATGTTATATATTTTTTAGTCTCTCGAGAAGATTGTTGAGGCTAGTGAAAATGAGTTGAGTTTGTGCCCTGGTATTGGCCCACAAAAGGTATGTACTAGAACTAGAGATTTTTTATTATGGTCAAATGATTCTCCATCTTTGTAAAACCTTCATATAAAAATGTAAGACTTTCTGGAAGAGATGACCAGTAAACATTATAAAATATGTTGTGAAAAACCATATAACACACCATTCTCTATTTTACTATAAAGTTGCTGTGATTTGGTTTTTACCTCATGGATGTAATGGCTGATTTTTTATATTTGTCTAACCATTTCCAGAACGTCTCTTCTATAAAGCTGATGTCAGTATTTAGCATGCTGCTTACATCTGGCTGTAGAGTAAATGGAAATGCTTGTAACATTTAGTTATCTTACAATATTCACAAGTCAGTCCTATTTAGTGCCCACTCTGTGTGCTGTTATACCTATTAAATAGTAAGGATGTAACACACTTTAATAGCTGACTTTTATGATAAGCTCCACTTGTTCTAAAGTACAATATTGTCTATATTTCAGGCAGCAAGACTTCACAGTGTTCTTCATCAGCCGTTTTTAAAAGCGAACCTCAAGTCTTAGTGACAACGTGTGTAAATTAAGGATGTAACATATTATATGGAGTAATAAAATTGGTCGAGGTCCCATCTTCTACACTACTCATGGCGTAAATTTAGGATCTTCTTGGTACATCCCTAAATGAGAACAAAAATAGCATTAAGATAAAATACTATTTATAAAAACATACTAAATGTTCTCTTTCTACATCACAATAAACAAACCTTTTAGTTTTGATGATGTCATCTTAAGCCCAAGTAAAATTTTCAAATTTTCTATTTCTTTTTTCAGTTCCTCTCTTTCTTGTTTTACTTCTTCCAGTTCCTGAAATTAACAAAGTAAATATTTGATTTGTATCAGTTTATTTTGACAATAATAAACACAACATAGTAAAGTTTTATCACAATTTTACAAACCTGTTTGCACTGGTCAAGATGTTGAACTTCACCATCAGGGCTTTGAGTACCACTTACTGGATTGTTGATACGTTCAGGTGTTCGAAATCCGGCCTTTGTAAATATTCTCTCAAGGTATGCTTTATAACCCTAGATTCGTATAAAACGAGCAACACGTTAAAATTTCCAGTAAATTTCATAATGACGTAAGAACTGATCACGAAAGAGAAACATGCTTATTTTTGTTGATCTTATATTCATTTATTCAGTGCCAAACCTACAATAAAAATGTTTACGATTCATTCTCTAATGTTGGTACCAACAGACTGAAGTTCATTTAAAAGAAATGTACTTAGCAATTTCACGAGAAAACCTGGATAGTCGCTATTCATCAGGAAAAAACTGCTGTATCCAGAAGATTATCATCACTTTATATTGATGAGCTTTACGTCCTAAGTTCAGTCATGCCACCAAGGTAACATGTATGTATTTATTTCACAGCAAGTTCCCAAACATTGGACAGTTCAATGCCACCACAGATAAACTTATGACTAAAATAATATGTCACAGCCCTTCAAAGAAAGGGTATTATTATAGTTAGATTTTTTTAAATGATGTAGAGTTAAAAGACCAAACATTTTGAAGAAGAAAAGTGCTTAGGATTACAACCTAATCAACTAAAGACAGACTAGCATTACACAACAAAACTTCTAAGATTACTATAAAACCTACCTTTTCTGTAATTTCATTATTTTTCAATTCAGTCTCTGCTTTGTCCCATTCAGCTTGTAGCTCAGCAGAGAGTCGTGGATACACCAACATTGCATCTTTGTGGCAGACTAGTAACGTTCCAAAATTAGCTCGGTATTCACACTTTTCTGGTTCAGTGACGTTAAGCAAGGAATTTTTGGAGGCACACGTAAAAGTAACCTGAGAAACAAGAAATTAAAGTTAGTATCAGAATTAAATAATAATTACCGTTTCAAAGAATTCTTTTAACAAGAAGTTTATGGATTATAACGGGGAAAAAATATGGCCAAAAGTCTCTATTACTACCTATATAAACAAAGGTGTTTTTTGTTTTAAAACAAATGTAAACATCAGTTACATTAAGTGTTATTGTTTAATACTTACTTGAACAGATCTGTCCTTATCTCCACACTTATTTCCTTTAGTCATCGTCATAGCAACAAAAGTATTGTTCTCTATCTTCCACTCCTTCCAGACACTGTACTTATAAACATACAGAGCTATAAAACTTATAACTTTACACAATATAAGTCAGACAACTTCTATTAATGAGTTTATTCTTATGGGCTTGAAATTTTCAACTACAACTTACAACAATAAAACACAAACTTACAAATAAGAACTTTCTAATTTTTCTTGACTTTATGGAAGATGTAGTTTTGTTGTATGTGAAAACTGGAGTCATAAGTGGAGTTTGTTATTACACAACAGTACACCTCACGTTCCCCACACCTGTCTAATTAAACAACAATACACCTCACGTTCACACCTGTCTAATTAAACAACAATACACCTCACTTCCACACCTGTCTAATTAAACAACAATACACCTCACGTTCACACCTGTCTAATTAAACAACAATACACCTCACGTTCACACCTGTCTAATTAAACAACAATACACCTCACTTCCACACCTGTCTAATTACACAACAATACACCTCACTTCCACACCTGTCTAATTAAACAACAATACACATCACGTCCACACCTGTCTAATTAAACCAAGATCAACATTATTACACAATACACCTCACTTCCACACCTGTCTAATTATGACTGATTTTACCAAGATCAACATTATTACACAACAATACACCTCACTTCCACACCTGTCTAATTAAACCAAGATCAACATTATTACACAGCAATACACCTCACTTCCACACCTGTCTAATTATGACTGATTTTACCAAGATCAACATTATTACACAACAATAAACCTCACTTCCACACCTGTCTAATTAAACCAAGATCAACATTATTACACAACAGTACACCTCACTTCCACACCTGTCTAATTAAACCAAGATCAACATTATTAAACAACAATACACCTCACGTCCACACCTGTCTAATTATGACTGATTTTACCAAGATCAACATTATTACACAACAATACACCTCACTTCCACACCTGTCTAATTAAACCAAGATCAACATTATTAAACAACAATACACCTCACGTCCACACCTGTCTAATTATGACTGATTTTACCAAGATCAACATTATTACACAACAGTACACCTCACGTTCACACTTGTCTAATTATGACTGATTTTACCAAGATCAACATTATTACACAACAGTACACCTGTCCAATTATGACTGATTTTACCAAAGAACAAATTCAAACTGGATTACAGAATATTCCAGAAACTATTTATAAAATACCATTATAAGTCTCACTTTGAAAACTTTCTAAAATTTTATCATTATAGAAGAAACTCATTTTTTGAAGTTAAAACATTACCCAATAACTCCCTGGTAGGAATTCCAATATGACAGAGTTTCAACTTGGGTCATATTCTGAAATGGGCAAAATGTGTACAAGTATCTGTAAAATAAAAATGTATTATTTAAGACATTTGTCTTCATACTTACGTTGCTATATTCTTATACTAGGATCAAGAATTCTACTATATAAAAAACTAGCATTAAATCTTGAGGGGAATTGAATTTCAAATACTTCAAAACAACAGTCTTTTCTCGTCTCTGAAGATATACATTTAGTACACGCAACATAATGTCTACTATGGTAGAGGTAACTAAACATCTACATTTAGTACACACAACATAATGTCTACTATAGTAGAGTTAGCTAAACATCTACATTTATTACACACAACATTATGTCTACTATGGTAGAGTTAGTTAAACATCTACATTTAGTACACACAACATAATGTCTACTATGGTAGAGTTAGCTAAACATCTACATTTAGTACACACAACATAATGTCTACTATGGCAGAGGTAACTAAACATCTACATTTAGTA